CAGGACATCTTAGCTGTATGGCACCTCCGGGAATGAGTGGTCCACTAAGGTCCCATGTGGAAGCAAGTTGTCCAGCATCACCTTCTTAGGAAACCCTCTCCACAGCAGGGAAGAGCACCATCTGCCACCCCAGGGCTGGGCTTTCACACAGAGGGAAGGCCACACTCTGAGCTCCCTTGGCTGGAGCTCAAAGCCCAGGCTTTGATTTCCTCTAAGACTCAGCAGCAGCAGCAGCAGCAACAATGGAACAGCAACAGGCTGGCTGAATGGAGAGCTCAGCCCCTGACCTCACCCTCTTAGCCGCCTCAGTATGCGCAGCCTTATAAGGAAGTGCCCCAAACAAACCGAGGAAGCCACCTCCGGGGGCCCCCACCCCTCCTCCACCCCATTCAGAGGCTATATTTACCCAGAGAAGGCCCCAGAATAACCTCCCACTTGTCCTCCTGCTGTGTGTGTGTGGGGGATTTGTGCTCCCTCCCCATTCCTCCCTCGGGACACCACCCTCACAAGTGTGACCTAATGTGTGTCATTCATTCCTTTGTTCATTTGCTCAGTACAGTTTACTGAGCATCCAGTAGGCTCCCAGGCACTGAGCTAGGCTCTGGGCAGTGAACAGGACAAGGGCCTTGCTTTTCCAGAACTTTCTACAATGACAGTGTCATTTGAGATGCTGTAGTGCCCTGGCCTTCCTCCTACTCTTTGGTCTTCTCCAGCTCCTTTTCTTAGGAACTCTGTCCTGGGCTTTCTTCATTCTCCATGCTCTCTCTGGGGGAATCTCTAGGCCAATGACCCCCTAATTCTTGTCTCCAACCTGTCCTCTCTCCTGAGCTCTAGGTCCACAAGTCCACCCAACCCCAGGGCCCTTCCTCTGGGAGGTCACAACTTCCTGCTGGAGTCTTCGTTTAGAAAATGGAACCCGGCTAGGCGCCTGTGGCTCAAGTGGCTAAGACACCAGCCACATACATCTAAGGTGGCGGGTTTGAATCCAGCCCGGGCCCAACAAACAATAATGGCTACAACCAAAAAATAGCCAGGTGTTGTGGCAGGCGCCTGTGGTCCCAGCTCCTTGGGAGGCAGAAGCAGGAGACTTGCTTGAGCCCAGGAGTTGGAGGTTGCTGTGAGCTGTGATGCCAGGGTACTCTACCCAGAGGGACAGCTTGAGGCTCTGTCTCAAAAAAAAAAAAAAAAAAGGAAATGCAACCCTACCTCCCAGCTGCTCAGGACAAAAGCCTGGGAACTTCTGCTAGCATATCCCCCATGTCCAGCAATGGGTCACCAAGTCCTGCTATTCTGCTTCCCTCACATACCTCCTCTCTGCCCCCCTACAGCCCCTGCCTGAACTACTGCAGCAGCCTCCACTCCTGCCACCCTGATCCATGCTCACAGGCACCCCTCCCCTTTAAGTTTATCTCTTAAAATGCAAACCTAGTTATTGGCTGGCTAAGTGGCTCATCCCTGTAATCCTAACACCCTGGGAGGCCGAGGCAGGAGAATCCTTTGAGTTCATGAGTTGGAGACCAGCTTAAGCAAAAGTGAGACCCTGTCTCTACTAAAAATAGAAAAACTAGTCAGGCGTCATGGCAGGTACCTGTAGTCCCAGCTACTTCAGAGGCTGTGGCAGGAGGATCACTCAAGCCCAAGAGTCTGAGGTTACTGTGAGCTAGGCTGATGCCATGGCACTCTAGTCTGGGCACAAAATGAGATCCTGTCTAGAATTAAAAAAGCGTAACCCTGGTCACAACACATCTAATTAAAATCCTTCAGGGAAACTCGGCACCCATAGTACGATGGTTATGGCGCTAGCCACACACTCCAAGGGTGGCGAGTTCGAACCCAGCCTGGACTAGCTAAACAACAATGACAACTGCAACAAAAATAGCAGGACATTTTGGCAGGTGCCTGTAGTCCCAGCTACTTGGGAAGCTGAGGCAAGAGAATCACTTAAGCCAAAGACTTTGAGGTTGCTGTGAGCTGTGACGCTGTGGCACCCTACCAAGGGCCACATAATGAGACTCTGTCTCAAAAAAAAAAAAAAAAATCCTTCAGAGACTCCCATTTCTCTTCAGAAGAAATCCTCATCTCCTGGCTGTCTTGTGAGGCTTCTGCCCCAACTCCTGACTCTCTTCAGCCTCACTTTGAACTTTCATCTCCCTCCTTTCACTTTCCAGTACAGAAGCCGGCCTTCCTCAATTGCCCAGGCTCTCCCTGCTTGTTTCAGGGCTTTGAACATGCTGTCCCCACTGGTCAGAAACCTTTTCCTCCCTCTTTCTTTCCCCCTCCATTGGCTATTCCTACTCATCCTTCAGGTTCTCAGGGGCACTTCCCCTGAGTGCCCCTTCTCATACTCCCCTAACCAAGGCCAGATGAGGCCCCTGCTCTGTGCACTTATAACCTAGGGCTTCTCTGCTTTCAAGTATGATTTCCACTCAGCACCCTTGTTCAGCGAGCAGGTGAAGTGTCCTGAACCATGTTGCTGTTTATCTCAGGATTTCTTGCGCCTTCACAGTGCAGGGCAAACAGCAGATGCTCAGTAAATAGATGTTTAAAAATGACAATCATGGCTCGGCGCCTATGGCTCAAGTGGCTAAGGCGCCAGCCATGTACACCCAAGGTGGCGGGTTCGAATCCAGCCCGGGCCCGCCAAACAACAATGATGGCTGCAACCAAAAAATAGCCG